TGCAGTCGTAAGCCCCCGGCTAGTATTTGTGGGGAGAGAGATGGATTTGTAAGAGTTGACGCCGGCCTTTGCAGCTAACGCGGCCGGAGAGACGATGAGCGTTTCGTGCGTCTCTCTCCCCAACACGTAGCCTAGAAACCGAAGAAATAATGAAGCAATTCGAAAGAACACAAAATAAAAGGAAGGTTTGTTCGTCGAAGCAGATAGAATAAACTGGTGTTTATTTTGTAACAGTCGAATTAGAATTTGGCTTCATTTTCTACCGGAAACCCAGGGTCACGGCGTTTGGAATTATTACTCTATAGTTGGGGGTGTCATTCCGTGATCGAGTCCACGCAGGGGCTGTAGCGAAGTCGGGTAACGTGTGACAGCTACAGAGCGCGTGAGGCAACGGAAGGACAGCAGCAGCCGCCTTACGCAGTAGCGGCGGCAGTTTAGAAAATCCCGCCCTCCCATCCCTTTTCTTTCGAAGGTGGGGGCATAAGTTCGGGAATATTCGGTATCTAGTCAGGTGTTGTAGAATGGTGTCTACCATTTGAGGACTTGGTCAGTTTTTGGGACTCCTGCGTTTGCAGTCGTAAGCCCCCGGCTAGTATTGTGGGGAGAGAGATGGATTTGTAAGAGTTGACGCCGGCCTTTGCAGCTAACGCGGCCGGAGAGACGATGAGCGTTTCGTGCGTCTCTCTCCCCAACACGTAGCCTAGAAACCGAAGAAATAATGAAGCAATTCGAAAGAAAACAAAATAAAAGGAAGGTTTGTTCGTCGAAGCAGATAGAATAAACTGGTGTTTATTTTGTAACAGTCGAATTAGAATTTGGCTTCATTTTCTACCGGAAACCCAGGGTCACGGTGTTTGGAATTATTAGTCTATAGTTGGGGGTGTCATTCCGTGATCGAGTCCACGCAGGGGCTGTAGCAAAGTCGGGTAACGTGTGACAGCTACAGAGCGCGTGAAGCAACGGAAGGACAGCAGCAGCCGCCTAACGCAGTAGCGGCGGCAGTTTAGAAAATCCCGCCCTCCCATCCCTTTTCTTTCGAAGGTGGGGGCATAAGTTCGGGAATATTCGGTATCTAGTCAGGTGTTGTAGAATGGTGTGTACCATTTGAGGACTTGGTCAGTTTTGGGACTCCTGCGTTTGCAGTCGTAGTCCCCCGGCTAGTATTTGTGGGGAGAGAGATGGATTTGTAAGAGTTGACGCCGGCCTTTGCAGCTAACGCGGCCGGAGAGACGATGAGCGTTTCGTGCGTCTCTCTCCCCAACACGTAGCCTAGAAACCGAAGAAATAATGAAGCAATTCGAAAGAAAACAAAATAAACCTGGGGATTTTATATGGAATTGATGTTGGCTAATGGGATTTGGGTAGTTCATGTTTGGATCGTTTTCCGCGTTTTACCTGCGGAGGTGACATGGAATTGAATATTGAATGGGATTTTCGTTGCGTTTATATGAGATGTCCCAGCAGGGGGGATGCGGGATTGTTGATTGTCTGTTTTG